CCTGACAGCCCCACCTAACCCCCCACCCCAAAAAAAAATTTACATTTGTTTTTATAAAATATTTTAAATTTCAAAAATTATTTTCTACTCTAGTAAAAATAAAAGATATTTCTCAAAAATATTTTTCATTGATAAATCAAACACTAAATTTTTTTTTCGGAAAATATTTTCTACTCACCAACCAAACATGAGAAAATAAGTCAAAAATCTACTTGTTTTGCAGAAAAACATTTTCTAGGAAACCATTTTCCTTCCTAACAAACACACCCTTAGTTCCTAATTGTCTAATCTTGTTTACAGTTTACTTAGTCTAATTGAGATGGATTAGACCAACATGAGCGGAGTATTAATTCGAAATCAATGGTTGAGTTTACACTATACATTTTTTTTAAACTCGTTTTTGATCGACTCATATTCGGCTCGACTCGCTCGTTTGCCACTCCTAGTCATAACTTAGCTCGTCCAACTTCTTTTTCTTTTTTTTTTTGGAGATATTTATAAACATTTTCAACCAAATATTCCCAAAAAAATGTTCATAGATATTACAAAAGATTTATAATTTTTATATAAACTCATCCTATCTATCAAGATAATTAAGCATAATTATCTAAACTAAAGAATGAAAACCTGAGAAGAATGCTTCTATTTATTTACAACAGACTCTCTTATTTTATATATTTTATTTTCATAATAATTTATTTTCCTTTATTCAGAATCAACTCATTTATGCATTATTCCGAATGAAGCAACCTAATGAGTTACTCCCCGTATCATTTTATGTGGCATTTTTCAGATTTCTTCTTCTCTTAACTTAAGAATTAAGTAAAAATAATGAAATTGAACTACATATGGTAGAAAACCGTGTGAATCATCAATACAATATTTGATTCACACGGTCTGCATGCAGAGATTCAAACAAGTCTATATTTGATCGTAAATTTTTCATATTGTGACTTATATAGTACTTTTTACATAGTTTACAAATATATAAATTTCATTTAAAAAAATTGAAGATTCCATGCACAAATTTCTAATCAAACTTAAACAGTTTGACTCTCGA